CCCACACCCACACCCATACCCCACCCACACCCACACCCACACCCCACCCACACCCACACCCTATATCTGAGACATATCGTGAGCTAGCGCATAGATGCGCAAATGCTTCCGAACTGGAAAACAGACTTTTTTAAAATTTTGTTTTTAAAGGTTGTGCGCATTTTTTTCTCACACGAGCACTTTAAGAGTAGAATAAGGTCATACTTGCAATTAGCACAATAAACTGCATTGAGTGATGTATAGTATGTTAATTTTTCAAGTAAAAAATGTTTGGCAATATGGAAAAATGCAATTTCGACAGAAAATAAATCGTGTTCATCTGTTTTTTTTAGAAAAATTCGAAATCACATTCTTCGACTTTTGTATTTCGTTGAAATATGAATCATAAAAAAAAGCAGAGCTGATTAATCTTTGATTGCTATTTCAGTTCATAACGACATATTTGAATGTGTAGCTTTGCTGCCAATTGTTGTATTTCATTCATAACTCTACAGAAAAATTATCATCATTTTTCACGCGATTCATTTGTATTCGTTTCAATCGATCAGAGAGGAAGAGGACCTTAATTACAATATGAAAAATTCCTCGGATCCACTGTTATTCTATCAAAAGGCACTTGAAATCTTCAAAAAGTCTCTTCTTTCAATCGTCTTGATATAGTCACTACCTACAAACACATGACTGAATTGCATAAAAACATGTGAGACAAGACAACTGCATTGTCATTTAGGATTGTCATATAGCAATAGAAAAAAAAAACATCCTGACAAACTAATTATTTTGGGGTGTAGATGTGGATGTAACTCATCAGTTCATCCACACGTGCACTCGCACCCACATACCCTTGTAAAGTTCAGCAAAAATAAACTTTGAAAAAACATCATCGTTTTCGATTATGTGAAATTTCGATGGCAACTCACTCATACAATAAGATCTAATTTCACGATTAATACTGGTTTCATCATTCGAAGCAGGAACACGTAAACAATCATGCTGCAGCCCATTATTGCTTTCATTTTCTTTTACCCAATCTACATAATAAAGAAATATTTGAGCTGCAGCTGCAGTGAAATGTAAGAAAATCATATTGAAAAGAACTATCATATGAAATAGTTTATGTTTCTCAATATAGTGAAAATTGAATAGATTACTGACTCTATGCACAAACTTCTAATGTAGATTTTGATCTTTTGTGTTGTTTTTTCTTCTCTTTTATATATGAATGTCATTAGGAATTTTGAACATGATGTAAATCCAAGATAGCATAAAAATCAAGTCATTTGTGTCTGGTAAATATCTAGCATTTTTTGCTTAGTTGTCTTTAAAAATTCTGACCTATAGAACAACATATACTTCGTCTTTCTACCATTAATGGTATATAGATAAATTAAATTAAAAATGAAATATGAATTGTATTAAAATGAATTATATTTAAATGAAAAAAATTCAACAGTTTTCAATTAATTCCATTGAACAAAACATGAATAAAGTTAATATTATTGATATACATTATACTTAATAGCACTAAATAGATTAGATTTAAAAATAAATAGCATAGCAATGGCAGCTGTTTATCCGTAAATAGGCATTCAATAGAAGCACAGTATGAAAGGTATATAATATAATATTTGTTGGATGATATATTTACACT